TTTGTTGTATATTATTTGACCTTGTGGATCTCCATATAGTTGCTCTGGATGTCACACTAAGGCTTTCATTTTGCAGATATCTGAAAGCTTGTTCGGATGTCATGCTATGGTTTTAATTATGTAGATCTCCAAAAGTCAACCCGATGGTTGATTATTATAGTCTGATCATCCTCCATTTTAGGGATGATTCATCCACTTATAATCTAATAAAAAAACTAGTGGAATCATTTCAACTAGGCATGGCCCCGTAGTTTTTCCATTTTCTAGTATATTTCATGTAAAAATTCGGGTGTTTTATTTTTCTTGTATTTTTGTGCTGAATATCCAAACAAGGCTGAGATGAAAATTCCTAACTATATCGCCTCATATATTCTAGCCCACAATTGTTGGTGCCGTCTGTGGGAACGTTATTCCTTACTGGGGGAAACCAATATTGCTCCAATCTTGAAAGATTGTTCATGTCAACGTCCTCACATCAGCTATTGCTACATCAATTTCATGGGAATTCAATAAAAACTGGGGCAACCTTGACAACAGCCTTGGTCAAGAAGATTTATCAAACTCTTCCAATATCCAAGATGATATCTTGGAATCATAAATTTTTTGGCAAATATAAGGATGCTTCTATCAAATTGCAAGCTTTATACTATCCCTAGCTGGGCTTCTATAAGGTCTTAATATCAACCTCAAAAGGCAATAATGATTTAAAGATTGACTATTCTTCACCATTGATTCAGGATATACATAATATTCGCCCCCTCTCAATCAAGGCTTAATTGATACCAGGAGGATTCGATTTAACCTCTTCAAAACATTTTAACATCATCAAGCAGTACTCTGACATACAACCTCAAATAAATCAAACATAATAGGAGGATTTTATTTAAATTATAAAATCTTTCATTTGAGAATTACACAATCCTTATTATGTCTCTATCACTGGATGATAAATCCTAAGGGGATTTGATTCATTCTCTTCCATATAGGTTAATATCATCGACCAACACTCTGACATACAATCTCGAAAAGGTTAAACATCCTAGGAGGATATCAATAAAATCATAAAATCCTTGATTTGAAAAATATATAATCCTTATTTTGCCTAAATAATTGGATAACAAATCCTAGGGGAATTTGATCCAACCTCTTCCACATAGGTTAACGTCATTAACCAACACTTTGACATACAACCTCAGATAGGTCAAACTCCCTATGAAGATGTTAATAAAATAATAATCCTTGATTCAAGAAATACATTATCTTTATTATGTCTCAATCACTGGATGATTAATCCCAATGGGATGCAATCCAACCTTTTTCCACACAGGTTAACATCATCGAGCAGCACTTTAACATACAACCTCTGATAGGTTAAACATCTTAGGAGTATGTCAATCAATTCATAAAATCCTTGATTCAAGAAATACACAATCATTATTATGTCTCAATCATTGGATGATCAATTCCATGAGGATTTGATCCTACCTCTTTCATATAGATTAACGTTATCGAGCAGTGCTCTAATATACAACCTCAGATAGGTTATACATCATCTGTGGATTCTCTCAACCTCTTTTATATAGTTAATGTCATTGAGCAATGCTCTAACAAACAATTTTGAATATGTCATATAACATTAATGGATTCTATCGACCTCTTCCACACAGATTAATATTATCGAGCAATTGTCTAACAAATAACCTCGAATATGTCATATATTCTTAGTGGATTCTCTCAACCTATTCCACAGAAGTTGACATTGCCAAATAATACTTTGATAAACAACCTCATATATATCAAATATCCATTATGAATTTCTCTCAAACTATTAACGTCATTGAGCAATAATCTAACATGACAACATTCTCTGTAGAATGATTTTATGAAAGCAAGTGGTTGATAAAGTCATCACTCATATAAAGATCTTAGAAACTAAAAAAGCCTCAAAAATCATGTGGGGACAATATATCAAAGCATATGTCAAAGATGTATTAATAGCTTAGTTTATTTTAAGGTACAAGTTTATTTCAAATGAAAAATAAGCATCGGGCTTATACAATAATCTCAACTTCATATACAATATCATTGAAGTTACACATATTTTATATTAGGTTTAAGTATGCATTAATTTTCAAAAGAAGATCAAATTAAAGTTATATTAGCATCATCCGTACAAACATCTCCTTCAACTTCAAAGAAAGGTTAAAAACTTATCATCATCATGCCTCTACTCAATTAACATTATTAATGTGTTGCTAAACTACTGACAAGGCACACTACTTTGGCCCCTTCTATTAGGGATGTTTGATGTCCGTACACATTAGAATGGATGCATATTACCTTTAACAAAATGCAACTTGACACCCACCATCATGGACGTTTCACCTGATGTTCGTTGTCAATCCTTCACTTTATATCAGCCGTCATTCAGAAGCTTGGCTACTATTAGCAGCACACCCTCCAATTATCTCCTTCACCTCTCCACTAGACCATTGATCTTCATTGAACTTCAACATAATAATCGATCGTCACTGGACTTCCGCTCAAACATTATCAAAAATTTTGTCAGTCTACTGACAGTCACTAGTTCTCCTCCCCGATACAATTACCACCATATCTCTCAAATCACCCTTATATGTAAGAGGTTGTTGATCTTTTTTTATCAAGGTTTATTTATTTTGAGAATAAAATCTCATCATGCCTCCTTCTACACAAAAAGAGCCACTAAAACTAAATAGGGGATGTCACATATCTCAAACAATTAAATGCCTCTAATGTAAGAAGAAAATGAGATGAGAAGAAAATGGAATGAGGAGAATGCTCCTTCTATACTAAAGATGGACATTGAATTTGGATAGGGGATGCCACCTATCAATAATTATGGAATGCCTTGAAAAAAAAGAAGAAAAATATGAAAGAAAGAAATGGGAATGCTGAAAACTCTAATTTCTACACATGAGAGGGGCATTTGTACTTGATAGGGGATGCCACATATTCAAGACAGTGGAATGCCTCAACTGTAAGAAAGTTAGTGGAAGAAAGAAGAAGGAGAAGAGGAGCAATTTTCCCTTGCCCCTGTGGGCTATTTATAAGGGAAAGAGGAGGGTAGAATATTATGTAAGAATAAGAATATTCAATAAATATTCTAGGAATATTTTAAGAATAAGAATATTTTGACTTTTAAAAAAGAGAAAAAAATTCTCTCTAAAAAAAGAAGAGAAAATTCTTTCTATGAAAAAAACTTCGTGGTCCCACCCCCAAAAAAAGTGCAAGTGGGCCTACAACCCAAAAATAAATAAATAGAGACTGGGTGGTTATAGTTAATGTCGTTTTTTATCGCCCCACCCTCCGCTCTTCCGTCCCAAAATACTTTGCCCGGACAATCTAAATCGGACATTTTGGGTTCTCATGAACTTTTTTTTTATGTTATGGATCTAATTTTGATACTTTCAGAGCTTAATAGAACTTCTATAATAGAGTTCGAACAATTTAAAATATTATGGAGTGTATTTTTCAACAATTTTTGCTCTAATCAACTCGTTAACTTTAGAAGACGTTCAATTTATAATTAAGGGTATTTTACATGGTTCACGTCCCCGAGGGGAGATCCACATTGATGTCAAGGAAGTAGCCACGCCTCGTAATTTTTTGAAAAGTACAACTTCTTTATTCAAACAATTTGAGAAGTTGTGATATGTATTTTTAGACTTCTAGAGTTTCGATATCCAAAAATAAGAGGGCAACTGATATACAATAAAAAATTATCTTGATCGGGCACATATCTCGATGCAAAATCAAGGTTGAAACTTCCAAAATTAAATTTGGAACCCTCTAAACTTTGACATTAGTAAACCTAAAATCAAACTAAATGCCTCAGAAATATGACCCCAATGACACCAAATTCAAACTCAAATCCGAGCCCAAATGGGTCCAAATTAAAGATCCGTAGCGTATTCGGAAAGTTTAAACCATAAATTGGATAACCAAATGATTTTCAAATATGACATGTTTATAGTCGAATCGAGTGGCTCGACAAGACGAATCAAACGAGCCTAAGATTGTCAAATTATGATATCATTAAGACATTCAATGCCCATTAAATGATCCACGATTAAGGGAATCCACATCGACTATCCATTCAAACCACTCCTAACTTAACATTGATCTTCCTCCAATTTACTAGCCAAGCCACTCTCAGAAAATTATAAATAGACCCCTCATTTCTTATGGGGGGGGGGGGGGGGGCAAGCAAGGAAGGAATGAAGAGAAACTTGAGTTCTGTTGCCACCAGACTCCTCTTCGACCACCGCCGGACTTCCACTTGACAGCCAACCGACGTTGGACTTCTGCCCGACCGCCAATTGATGCCGGCCAACGCCGGACTTCTATTCGATTGGCGACTGACGCTGGACTTCTACCGAACTGCCCACTGACACCAAATTTTTGTCAGAACCATCAATTGAAGCCAAATTTTTACATGACCACTAAACATCACCAGATTTTTTATCTCTGCCCGTAACTAAATTTCAACTTGACGATTGATTATTGTAATCTGATCGTCCTTAATTTCAGGGATGAGTCCACCACTTGTAATATAATCAAATACTAGTGGAATCAATTCAAGTGGATGTGGACCCGTGATTTTTCCATTTTTCAAGGTTTTCCACATAAAAATTCTGGTGTTTTATTTTCTTTTATTTGCGTGTTGGATATCCATACACTGCTGAGAAGAAAATTCATAACTCTATCGCCACATATTTTCTAACACACAACATTTTGATTTATTTTAAAATTAATATAATAAAATTTCTTCTTAAGCAATATTAATTCTAAAGCAAATTTAATAATTTTCAAATCTATAATAATATAATTTGTACCAAAACATCTCAATTAAATTGGTCTGTTTAGAGAAAGTAATTTTTTTGCTTCACAATCACTCAATGCAAGTTCCATTAATGATGCACACCATTCAATTTTATAAAATGTTGCTCATAAGAAACTTCAAAAAAACTGATTAAGTGAGCTCATTAAAAATATATGGAGTTGAAAAATTCAAAATGAGAGCCTTCTTCAAAGTTTCAAGATTATAATACAGCACAATATGAACCAAAATCTACCAGTGACATCGATAGAAAATGAGTTTTTCACATCCAGAGACTTGGTAGCAACTCAAGACAGCAAGCTCCAAACTTTTGACAAATCAATCCAACTTAGAAGAATAGAAGAGAACCAATAATCACCAATACGGAGATGATCATCATCGATGAAACAGGACTTAATATTGAGCTGTTTGAAGGTTGGTTAGCTGGAGCTGAAGCATTCCCTTGATTTGGGGGAGTTGGAGTTGAGGGATTTACAGGACTAACAGAAGGTAGAGGTGGCTCGACCACATCAGAATCTTCAAGAATTGGCATTGGAGATAGAACCGGCGGCTGAGCTGGTGCGATCATAAGCTGCTTCAAACCCCCAACTTGAACTGGTTTCATATAGTTCGGCATATTATTTCCTAAATTCCTACAAGAATTTCCTGTACCAAAAAAAAAAAGTTATCAAATTATTTATAAAAATAAAGATAATAAAGTAACTCAAAACGTTAGATTTTTTATCCATACATGCCACAAAGTATGATCACCTGATGTACGGTTTAAGAAAAAAAAAAAAAACTTGCCAGTTCAGCGCTAAATTACAGAAGTGAGTATTATGGGCTTTTGCTCATTTAGTGCACTTCCAATCAATAAAGTTATAGGACTTACCCTTGCAATCATGAAACATTTAGGTTGATTTTATTCTTCATGAATAGAAGCATTTAGTACAAATAACTAAAAAGTAAAAGCTTAACCAAAAAAGTGTAGGGCATGGAAGAAATTTTTGAGGGTATGTGCAGTCAACAGCATAAATTTAATTATTTAAATGGACATTTAGGCTTCATTTGAGATGGCTTTTTTTCTGCTTCTTAAAGCAGCTTCGTAGAACAAAAATTTTAATTTTATACGAAGAAACTGCTTTAAGAAGCAATAAGAAAGCTGTCGCAAACGAAGCCTCAGTAGTTTGACGAAAAAATTCCAATGGGTAACTTACTCTTGTATGCTCTTGCCGAAGCAGGGTAGTCGGTAATGATTCCATCCACCGAGGCTCCTTGGACGTATGTGTTTATCTCCACATAAGGATCTGTGAAGAAGTCCACTGGTTGAGAGGGAAATTCATTCCGTAGAACATATACAAAAACTTGCAGCCCAGCTTTTTGTAAACTGTTAATAAGATTCGTCTCATTGACAATGAAATAGCTAGTATCAGGGTAAATGGATTCCTTGTTGACAGCAACAGAATCCGCAAACTTCTTTATGTCTGCAATTGAGGAAGCTGCAGCATCTTGAATGGTGTCATCAATCCTGTACATGAGCCTGTATTTGGTTTGCTGCTTCATCTTGACGAGAACTGAACTATCACTGGATTGAATTGTGACTTCAAGGGCACTTGGCTTAGTATAGCCAGTATCATTCAAGGCAGAGATGACATCGTCAATGACACTAATGCCTACTTTTTCAATAAGAAATGCTGCATTCTACAGTGGCAAGCGACCAAACCATGTCAAATTGGTAGTACTTAAAAATGCAAAACAATAAGGAAAGATAAAATTGAACTTATAGATGGACATGTCATGATTTTATGAGGAAAAGAAAAGCAGAGACAAATATATTTATCTAAACAATATAAATATTCTTTGAATGATCAGAGTTCTCACTTGAGAATCTCAATTTTCAATAAACCAAATGGAAACAAGCAAATATGGATACAAATATGGTTGCAATGTCACTACAAAGGTTTAGGAATAAATTTCAAGAATTTGTGGTATCATTTTACTGCTCATGTTTCTGACATGTTTTTAATTTTATTTTATCAGTTTATATCACTTTAGACTTTACCAATATTAAGTAAATCCCTTGCCTAAATAAGCTTTTGTTTTTGTTCATTATCAAAGCAAGAGATCGTAAGTTCCAATCATGGTAGGACCTGACTTCTTTTCCAGCACGTGTCAAAATTGGCTTATGCTTTCTCTGTTTTAGCACTTCAAAATTCATTTATTTCATGCTTGCATACCAAAAAAAGTTTTTGTTCATGGTGGCCTTCCAAATCATTTATTTACTATCCTCACCTCTATATTAATCAATATTCCTGATAGGGCTTTATCTTTGGCAAACGACAAAAAGTCGGATAAAGTCATGAAATTTCCTGCAGTTTTGTAGCGTGGGTTTCGCACAATTTTGAAATCGACATCTGGATTTGGATTTGATATAGAAGCTACAAAGAAGAAATAGAAAAATTATTAATTCAGGATCAATCAAAGAAGATTACACAACATAAATTATATCAAAATGGTACCCAAAATAGTGCATACTTTGAAAATGGGAACATTTAAAAGGTTCATTTTTTCTAAATCCAAAACTCATGTGAAATTTTAATTTCAAACTAAAAATATTTTGGAAATTATCACAATATGTTCTTGATAAATATTGCAATTAGGAAAAAGATAATATGTTTCAAGGAAATTATTATAAACTTACGCTTCAAATTCTTTTGAATCTCTTCCAAAGTAAGATTAAAAGTGAATATTCCAGGAGTGCTTTGAAGTTCTGGAATATTAGAAATACGAGATCTGAAGATGGATTGTGCAGCATTAGTATAATCCATTAAGTTGATAGAACTCATGCATATGAGGACTCCATCTTGGGTTACTTGGACCGGACAATCAATAATATCTGCTCCATCCGTAACTGCTTTACTATAAGCAAGATCAGTGCAATCTGGGTAGTCTCCACTTGCTCCATTGTGCGAAAGGATGACAGGTTTTCCTAAAAATGAAATAATGAAATGATAGAGAGATGAAAGTCAGAATAGGGGTCAAGTTATAGCAAATCAAATAAGAAGGGACGTACCATGGTCCAAGCTGCTTTTGTTGAGATGAGAAAAGCAACCTATAAAATGAAGGTTTGGTAAAATAAATGATAAGAAATCTAAAATTTGTAAATGATATCAGTGTTATTTTTACTATTTAACCATTTCTACCAAATATGGCATGGCATGATTGACTGAGAATTTGTATTTTCACCGTTTACAATGCTAATCGCATGACACAATTACCCCTATATAACATTGCAAGTCATTTTAGACATTTTGTGATTTATTAAACATTCTTTTTTCAATATCTAATTGGTTTTGTAGAAATTAATCTTATCCATCCAAAGCATATTTCAAAGCTAGGATTTGTACATTGTTCCATACCATCACATTGTAAATGGAGAGCATACAAATCAGCTAATAAGACAAGATGAATGTTGTTCATCAAGTGATTCCCTGGACCATCATGCCAAACAAATGGTTTTCCTATATAGTTATTGTATAATTTCTTCAAATGAAATAAAACATGCTTAATTTTATAGTTAAGGTGCTCAAAAGAAGACAATAAAACATCACCTATGGCTTCTGATGGAGTTACAGGGAAGTCTGTTAGAAAACCATCAACGGAGAATTCACCATTGTCAATAAAAGAAATACATTCAGCTAAAGGATCATAACTATAATTGTATGGAATGACGATGTCATTGACAAAATCGCCTGCATATATTTCCAATCCCTCCTTGTGAGCATCGCTAACGATGGAGGTGGCTTGTGATTCTAAATATAGATCAGCTGTAACTGGCCAAATGTAATGCTTAGGAACAAGGATGCCTGTCGCAAAGGTCTTGATAAAGGTAAGATTTTTTAACAATGTTCCATAGGTCTGGTTTGTGGAAGGTTCGGTAATATCCTCCCCAAGAAAACGGAAAACCAACTTAGTCTTGGACTTCTGAAATCCTGCCACAATACTCCTTAGGAAACCAACTTCAGGTGAAGAGATATAGTTCACTATAACACTCTTTGATAGAGAAAGAATGTAACTTCTCATACTTAAGTTATGTTGACTGTAGAAAATATCATTCTGTGGGATAATAGAGAAGTTGAAATGATCAGTAAAGCTTCAATAAAGTTGAAGCTTAGCATTTAGCTGATGCCATAATGGTATATGCAGAAGTATAATTGAACAGAATAGTACCTGTACATTAAGCCATAGCGGTGATCCATCAACTTGTTTTTGAACTTGTTCAACAGAAAGGATGGGATACGAGTTGAAATCAAATCTAAATGTTCGAGAAAAAATTCCCTGTGTCACTGCTCAAATAGTGAAAGATGGTTATTATATCATCTAATTGTGAATGAAACTTTTAAATCACAATTGTTAAAAACAGAGGTTTTTTCTACCCTAAAATAATCAAACTAAAAAAAATAAAAATGGAGATATCACCTAGTAACATTTTTCTAAAACTATATTGATCATACTTTCATCATACAAGACACCAGTTAGTTGATAGAATGAGTTTGGTATTCTAAGTCATGAATGTGCAAACTTATGCTTGTTTATGAGCAATCTATCGTGACTAATCAAGAGAATTTAACAAAACATTAAAGAGGAAATGATTAGAGCAAGCTTCGATGGCATAACTGCTAAAATGTGTAAATGATGTGTATGCAACCAGCATAATTGGCATGTGTATGCACTTGCAGTAAGATCATACAAAATATATTCACATGCTATTAACTAATAAAATCCCATGTAAGGTTTTGGATTACAGTAAGAAAAATTCAAGCAAATGTAAATGGTTTTCCATAAGAAGACGAACTTACAAGTAACTTTTTCTAAATCTTTCATTGTATAATCCACAGAAAACCACCCCTGGGTCAATGCGCCATTAACAGGATAGTCTTTCTTTCCTTGAGGATAAATTGATGCAATGTCAGTACAATTGTCTAGCTTCAAGTTTGGTAGACAAACGGCAATACTGTCCTTCGTTAGTCTCACATCACACCATGATATTGTATCAGTTGAACTCGCTATCAGAGCAAAACTAAAAGCATCTAAACTAGAGCCAGGAAATAAACCAGAAAAGCCACCATTGGCTATCACAACAGGGGCATCACCTGCAAAAACTCAAATTTAATAATTATTTTATGAGAAAGTATTAGCGTCATAATCAAGGAGACTGGCAATCAACCTTCCACTGATAGTCTCTTTTATGAAAAATAAATAAATAAATTTAATGACCAAGAAAGATAAAATTGAAAATTAGCAAATTTCAACATCGAAAGACTCATCATATTATTCAGTCAAGTGCCTTAAATTTATTACATAGAAAAATGTAGAAATAATTGAAAATATAATTTCTAGAGAAATGTTTAGATCATTTAAATAGAGAAGAATCTTAAGAGTATTAATGTGATAATAAGATATCATAAAGATTTAAAAAAAAATTATAAATATACAATTATTTTGGTAATGTTATATAAAGTGTAGGGTAGTAAAATAAGTGATGGAACATGATGATGGGCTACCCAAATGATGTAATAATAATATTGATATAGTAAAGTTAAGTACTCTGATAGGGAAGATGAGTATAGGGTGGATGTTTAAGAGTGGAAGCTATGTTAAGGTACACAAACTTTTAATTGTGGTTGATTCTACAAGAAAAGATTGTAACAAACAAACATAATTTAATTCATTCTATAATAATGCAAATAAGATCACATATGAGGTATTTATCTAATTCGAGCAGTTCATCCTAGTGCATCCTAACAATCATTCCTTTAGAAATAATTTGAGGTTACTTACAATCATTCACATTGATTAATAACATTTCTAATTAATAAAGGAAAGAATTTAATAATAAATAAACTACTAAAAGAAGCCTAACGAAAAAGAACATTCATCCACAATATTAATGGAAGGAGAGTGGTCATAAAATTAAAGAAAAATAATGCAATCTTTAAGCTCTCAACTTTGGATATCCCTAAAAGAAAAGCAAGTGGTGCTAATTTTAAATATGTAATGCATTCATATAAAGTGGAAATTTGACCTAGTCTCTTTAGAAAGGTGGAGTGATGCTTGAATTAAGCATCTTTTGTCTTTAATGAAAGGATTATCACATGTACTTGTGTCTTGTCATGATTAATCTTAATCATCACAATTTTGAATTTTGAAGGAGGTGGTCAATCATGATGAGGCGAAGTGAAATCCATGATTTCCTTATGTCTTCATATTTGAATTTACGTAAGAATTCTTCCATACTATTATCAACATGTAAGCAATCCTAAGATGTATAAACATCCTAATGTAAGGCTGATTTTTTTTTTTTTTCATGTTATGCATTCCACTCCAAAAACTCTACCCTCAAAGTTAAAATGTTTACAATATGATAGGAAACACCCCAAAATAATGGAAAACATAGCAAAAATTTGCTGTAAACAATAGTTTTTCCAACAAAATTGTAGGACATTTGAGAGAAAACACTTGAAATTCACTAGTAGAAGAAGAAAAACAGCAAGATACAAAAAACGGTAATCTAGACGCTGCTAGAGACCAAAAGAAACCTAAACCTAAGAGATCTCAAATTTCAGCCAAATTCAAGATGCCCTAAACCTAGGAAAATAAACTATTTAATGCATACAATTCAAAATGAAATCTCTAAACAATCCCTACATTCAATTTCCCACCTAAACTCCCTTCAAAAACCTTCCTAAACGACGTTGTGAGGATCATGGTCGGATTGTGTGTACAGGAAGAGGCGGACTCTTCCGCCTCTATTTTTTTGGGCCAGTCCCGCGTGGACTGGATGGACCGGTCCATTGAACTGTTCTAACAAACTCTCCTCTCCAAGATCCACCTTGTCCTCAAGGTGGAAATATGCTCGTGTTTCCATGGAGGTGGCTATCCTTGAAGTGGCTGAAAAACCTTATCGAATTGCTGAATCAAGGGCTGCATTGAAAGAGAAACATCCCCTCGCTCCTCCAATCTGATCACCTCTAGCCTGTGTAGTCCCACTATATAATCTTCCCCAATCTCTTGTATGCTCCTAACCATGGTCTTAAGTGATACCATGACTTTGGATAGCCCCTCCTTCCTCCAATGTGATCACCTTCAGCCTGTGTAGTACCACCAGATAACCTTCCCTCACCTCCTATATGCTCCTAATCATGTTCTTAAGTGATACCATGACTTTGGATAGCCCTGCATCTCCCCTTATAACCACCTTTCTCCTATCCACCAATAATTTCAACGTGAGTGCTCCCCAATTGTCTTTGGTTTTCCCCAAGGTTTGCAACCACTTAATCCCCAAGATGACATCAATACTTCCTAACTCTAGTGGGAGAAAATCCTCCCTTACCTGAATCCCCTAGATGATCAACACCACTACTCTACAGATCCTCTGGCCTTTCTCCACCTTCCATGTACCCATCATCACCCATAATAATCGGTGTCCACCAATTTCACTCCCAGTTGGTTAACGACCTGAATGGGAATGACATCATGGGTAGCCCCACTGTCAATCAATACTACCATCTCCATGCCTGCTATTTCCCACTTCACCTTCATCGTATGATTCAAAGTGAATCTTATTACTGAATTCAGGGAGACCTCCGCCACATCCAAATGCAACTTATCATCCATCTCTCTCTCACCTCCCTCAGCTTCCTCGTCATCACAGACGGTAAGAAACTGAAGAGTTCGATCCCTACACCTGTGCCCTGGAGTATACTTCTCATCACACCAAAAATATAACCCATTTGCTCTCTTCTCCTGCATGGTTTAAAATTGCGCAATATGAGGCTCGCCTTTGCACAGTTCCAGTAAAAAGCGCCTTGATGCTTCTTACGCCTCGAGTTTTTTTATGAGGCTTGCGCCTCAAACTTGGTTGAGGCCCGCCTCGCCTCACTGGCATGAGGCTTACGCCTCACGCTATTTATATTAAAACTTACATAAATCTTGAAGTAAATGCCCGACATTGGACTCTATAGGAGAGGAGGAAGGGGAGAGAGCAGATCATCATAATGATGATTCAAATAAAGAACCCCTTAGTGATGACAGTGCTGATGACTTATGAGTTCTTATGTGATATGTCATTGCTATTTACTTTTGAAAATTAAAATTATATTTTAATGAAAAGAATTCTGGGATTTGGAAAAGATAGAATTTTGAGTTGAACTATATTTCATGTTGTCTTATTATTGGGATATTTTGATTTTACTTCATATCTTATGCTTTTTTATGTTTTATATTATTCACTCATTAGTATAAAAAATTTATCATTTTATGTTTACGCAATATTTTGGTTTTGAGGCTTACGCCTCAAAACGCCTTGAGGCTTACGCCTCGCCTCACGAATGAAAAACGCCTCAATACCCGAATACGCAATTTTAAACATCGTTCACTTGTATCTCCATCTCTATAAGCCTCTTAAAAATTTTCCCACTCCCTCCACCTAATGGCTTCTCCCTGGTGGTCTCATGAAATCCTCCTGATGTCAAACCCTTGGGTGCTAAATGAGTAGTCACCATCCCATAAGTTCCTCCTGAGCTGCTACTCCTGGCTCCCCACTCTAGATTCTTCTGATTTTCCATCAATTGGGCAAATTTCATGGCCTCTCCCAAGTCACAAGGCATCATGACTTTCACTGCCACTCTGGTTTCTACCTTAAGTCCCTTCCTGAAGTTCCCCTTCAAAGCAGACTCTGATAATCGTTCCACCTAACTGGTCAGGTGCTCGAATCTCTCCCGATAGTCTTCCACTGATCCATCTTACACCAGTATAAAAACTGCTCGTAGAAGTCTCCTCCCCCGTCAGTTTGAAAACGTATTAATAAACAGTCCTTGAATGCTCTCCAGCTCCTTATAGGCCTCCTCTAATCCCGCAATTAGTACCATGACAATGCCTTCCCCTCTAGACATAGGCATGCTGCTGCCAATTTCTCTTCATCCATCAACCCATTGACGACGAAATATCTCTCCACCTTATAAATCCATCCATATGCATCCTCCCCTTCGAATATGGGTATCTTCAGCTTCCTCACCTTCTGATCTCCCCTATTCCCCCTTATACCTCCATAACTTCCCCTCTCCTAAGTGTTTGACCCTCCCCACGTCTCCCGGTTTACCCTCGCCTTGTCATAACCCAAATCCCCTTCAAATTACCCTCTCCTTCCTTCAAATTCAGCACCTCGGCGGTCATAATATCCCTTCCGGTGTTCCCAATCAGCACCCCTTTGCTCCTGCCCTCCATACCCATACCTTTCCCCACGCCTAACTCCTCTATCCTCCCTTTGGAAAGGCTCCAGATGGGGTCTTCTCCCTTCTCACTCTATGATTTCCACCTTGTCTTCACCCTTACAAATTTCAGAATTCGTATTCTTTCCTTCTGGCCCTTTCGCAAATGAAACTACCGATTGGTTGTGGATTCCAACATCTTCTTCATCATATCCCATAAATCATCTACTTGCCCTTCTATAGAGGACATTTTGTCATGCACCGTTGTTTTTATCTTATTCATTTCCCCTACCAAATGTTCCTCCAGTGCATCTACCTTCTTAGTCGCCTTAAAAAATTTTGGTTTCGCTCCAAAAATCAGTAAACGTTCCTTCCTACGGATGAAAATTTGCCTCTGCAATTTTAGGAAATTAACCCCCGATGGTTCCAAGACTTGCTGACACCAATTTGATTAAAAACAGCCCAAAATAATGGAAAACAGAGAAAAAATCTACAGTGAGCAGCATTTTTCCCACAAAACTGTAGAAAATATGAGAGAAAATACTTGAAATTCATTAGTAGAAGAAGAAAAACAACAAGATACAATTGATCATCGATTCGATAGGAGGATCGATCTCTCACAAATCTCTAGATGCCGCTAGAGCCCAAAAGAAACCTAAATCTAAGAGATCTCAAATTTCAACCAAATTCAAGAAGCCCTAACCCTAGGAAAAAAAATTATTTAATGCATAAAATTCAAAAGAAAATCTCTAAACAGTCCCTACATTCAATTTCCCTCCTAGACTCCCTTCAAAAACCTTCCTAAACGATGTTGTGATAATCGCGGTCTGATCGCATGTACATGAAGAGGCGGACTCTTCCGCCTCTGTTTCGTTGGTCCCATGTGGACCAATTGGACCTGTCCATTGGACCGATCTAACACAATCTTCATAGAAATCAACTTGCTGGAACTACTAGTGATAAAATAACATTGTATTGAGGGAATCTTGAACTATATAACATTATCTTGGATGCTTGCAAAGTGGTTAGTTTGAACAAAAGTGATATGTTTTGTCATTGTTGTGGCATTACTTGAATGGGAAAAGTTTGTATTTGGGATGGTTGGTATACTTGATTTGGAGGTGGGTTAACAAGTGACCATGGAGCAAAGGGTGTAGGATGAACTTTTGTTCGAGATGAGGAAAGGGTGCTTTCAGGAAGATGGTTTTGTATGAAGGCTTATTTGGGGTTTTATGGAGGATTTTGGGTGTAGAATTGTAATCATGTTGTTGGTTTAACAAAACATGCTTTATCATTATTTCAAATTTGTTAAGTCTAGAATCACGTTAATTGAAAAACTTATTAGTCATCAAGATGGTAGAGAGGAAATTTTGAGATTTGAACAATGAGAAATTTTAAGCAAGGTTTTTCTAACTTTTAAAAAGAATCATCCTTGACTTAATAGAATCTACTAGATTTTTCTTTAATACCAATCGATTGAAATTGATGATCAGCTAGCCAAATAATGTAGTGATTTTGACGTAGTTAAGTGAAAAGCTCTTGTAGGGAAGATGAGTGTATGATGGATGACTGAGAGTATTATATATGTTAAGGCTAACAAACCTCAACTATGATTGATTCACAAATCAACCCAAGAGAAGAATGGTCATCAAACAAATTTTCAAGTGCTGTAAGAAAATAACATAACTTCATTCATTCAATAAAAATCCATATAGGTTACATATGTGGTTTTTATAGAATTCAAGCAATCAATGCTAGCTTGGTCAGTTTATCATTGCTTTAGAAGTATTTGGGGCACTTACAATTGGTCCCATGGATTAATGCATCTTTATTTAATAAAGGAAAGAAAATAAGAATAAATAACTAACTAAAACAAGCCTAAAACATGAAAAAATTCAATCACTATATTTATGGAGGGAGAATGGTCAAAAATAAAGAGAAATATATTACTTAAGCACTAGATTTTGGGCATCCCTAGAAGGAAAAACGGCTGCAATAATTTAAAATATGTAATGTATTACTATGAAGCCAAATATGGCCTAATCTCTTTAGGAACGTGGAGTGATCCTTGTATTAAGCATGTAGTGGTTTCTTTAACATGTGGGTGATCACATATACTCGTTCATCTTAATTATAACATATCATAATTCATCATAATAATCACAATTTTTTATTTAAAGGAAGGTGGACAATCATTCAAGATGGGAAGTGAAATCCACAGTTGACTTTTAGACTAATATCTGTTGAAGATGAGCAATTAAAAATAGAACTAGATGATTTGGACAAATAAAAAATAGATTAAAAATATGCCAATTAAATGAGAAGAAAAAATTAGTATCAAAGAAGTAGAAAAGTGAAGGTGTAGACCTAGGTTAACATGGAAAGAAGTTGTTCAAAATGATTTGTTAAGAATAAATTGGATACATTAGAAAGAACACTGCGGGAATGAATGGAACATTAGGATTCATAAAAACAGACCCAAATAGTAAGGAAGACATTGATGATGATATAGCCATGCATCAAGCTCAAATATCCAGCAGCCAAATGGATGGTTCCAAAAAGGGTGATCCAATGCATAGCCCAGGGAGGTTCACATATTGAAATAAATTAATCAATGATTTTATATTTAATGACTGCCTAAATAAAGTAAACTTTATAATCTTAAAACAATAAAAACAATTTAACCTTTTTATTTTCAAAATTATACTAAAGAAATATTTATAGGTTCAGAGTAACATTCATATTGTAACATTCATTTTTGTCATCTTTATTAGAATTGATCTATGGTCATACCTAGGCCTCCACAAAAAAGGGGTGATCAAATTCAGTTTTCAAGTAAATTTGATTTTATATAAGTTGACATTTGTGTCTATAATTTTATATTTGAAGGTTTTATTATTGAAAGATAAAAAACATCATATACAAATGTTATCAAAATATTACAAATCCTAGCATAAATGTCAACGAGAAAATCATAGAAATATAGAATTTCATAAGCATGAAAATGTCTCATAACGTTGATCATAGCAACCTAGAGATCTCATTTATCAACATCGTAAATAAGTAATTAGCTTGAGATTTATCATTTATCCCAACCCATATGTTCCTGTTCCTATTGAGTGTTCCATATCGTGTTAAGTCAAGTTTATGAAAATATTATTCCACAACTTCTAGTCAACTTACCTTTGCTCTACCGTTTTAAGTTCCAAGTATTTTCCACATAAATTCTCTCTCCCAACCTACTAGACGCGTCTCTTGCGCAAGTTCAAACCACTTAAATCTATTTTCTAAAGTCTACTCCACAATTGGTGCTGCAATTTAAGTCTCTAATTCATAGTTGTAATCACGTAATACTTGATTGATAACATGACTCTTGGAAACCAATTATTAAAGATTCAATTATTAACAGGATACATATATCTATGAACATTGACCGACAATAGCATACAAGGCACAAATATTGGTTTACACCAAAAAAAAGACACACATATTGGTATAAAGGATAATCAGGGACCCCTATCTTCAAAAGACAAATATATGCATGAAAAACCTAAATTTAGATCTCAAACTAGACACACTGGCAATCTAACGCCAGGTCAGATCAAACTCAAAAGTAGAAAAAAAAAAGGAAAGAAAAAATAACAGAAAGTGAACTAAGATCAAACAACAATCTCCTAGAGCCAATATCATCGAGATAAACGCGCAATAAAGCCATCAAACGAAGATGTTCTCTTTATTGGAAACCTTTGCAGAAAGCCAGAAAAACAGTGATAAATTACAAAGTATAATCCCAAAAAAGACTCAAATGTGCTTGCATTCATGAAAGGAAACCCGTCACCAGAATCCCTGCCAACCTCAAAAATCAAGCTTAATTAAGATAGATGGCCAGAAGGAAACTGAGAACGAAAAGAAAGTACCAGACAAGGTTTGCCATGGAGACGCTCCGAGCTTCTGGGCACCGACCGCACTCCAACGAAGCAAGAAAAAGAACACCAACAACGAGGACGCCGCCCGCCAGAAGCTCCTCCTTATTACCATTTCTTAGCCGCCTATAAAAGCACAAACTTCCTCAAAATCGGAGAAGTGGAAACGATGGCGATTCCTGACAAGCTCGCGTATCTCCAGATATACACTCTGACGGACTAGAAGAGGAAACTTATTAAGATCGTGGTGCGAATGTGGAAGAGAAGCAGAGAAAAAAGGAGAGAGGAAAAGTGGGGTTTCCACTTTCCACAATGTTTCTCTTATACAGCAATTCAATTTCAAAACTTCCAAATTTCGAATCTTCATCCTTCCTTTTTTTTTTTTTTTGGGAAAATAATCTTCATCCTTCCGGCTTCCAACTAGTTTCCCCATCCACATCCAGTCAGCGCCTTTACCGACCCCTTCCAGCTTTGTAATCTGAACGAGCCAGGTTGGAGAGAGGTAGCGTTGTCAATAGAAAATTATTAGGTTTAGACACCGAACATAGCAATATCTCGGGACTCAAGACACGTGTTTGTGAAATTTTAAATCAAGCATGTCAAAAGTGCAGGTAAAGTACAGTTAAAGTGCAGATAAACCAGAGTGAAAATGCAGTCAAAGTATCAAAGCGCGTCCACATATCAAATTTTAATTGGATATCCGGACTTATTTTTAAGATCCGATGTCCATACCTAATAATTTTCCATCAACCTGAACAAGTCCAGCGTTTACTAGCCCATTTATTCATTTTGGCCAACAAAAGGATGCATTGATGGGTCCTGGATAGCACTTCTGTTTGCAATAATGAAGAAGCTGAGTATTTAAATTCAAAATGAATGCTGTTTGTGGGCTGTTAAGCTAGCCAGTAGATTGACCCTACTTGATCTGTTGGACATTGATCATCCAATTTTTGGGCTACAAACGAACCGAGCCGAGCCGAGTATGTGAGTGTTCATGTTTGTGTTCATGTAATATCAGGTTGTTCAAGTTTGGTTCATGTTTGTTCGAGCTTTATTGTTTGTGTTCATGTTTGATTCATTTAAATTAATGAGTGTTCATGTTCGGTTCATGTTCAGTTCAAGTTCGTTCGTTTAGTGCTCATCGAGCTTTAAACAAACTAACATAAACGAGCTATAAACGACCTCTACTTTTAGATCAAACAAACACGAATTTAGATTAAAACATGTTCGTTCGTTTGCAAACATATTTAACGATTTTTTTTTTAACTATCAAACAAACACGTTCATAAACATATCTATGAATAAACACATTTATAATAAAAGCAATTGTCTATGTAACAAAGGCAATGATTTAGAAGCAAATCTCATCTTCACGAAATTTTCCTAACAGCAGCATTAATAAGGCAATGATTTATAAATAAATAGCCATGTAAAGCTACAATTACTTAGACAAAAAGTTAAGTAATATTTGATACCTGCAGCAATCACTGATCCAATAACAACTAGAAAATAGGAAAGAAAGAAAACTTAATTCGGCGAAGCAGGAGTCGGGGTTTGCAGGGAGAAAGAGTGGCGAAGACGTTCTGAGATTGCCAGTTCTCCCTTCCGCCTTCGTTAGCCCACGCATTTGGAAAGAAAAATTAATGAGATCGCAAGTTCGCCCTCTATAAAAATACTTAATTAACATATAATATAATATTATTTGCTTTAAATTTTATTATTTAACAATAATTATATAATTATATTATAATAAATATAAAATATTTATATTATTTATATTTATTAATTCTAAATATTAATTATTTTTATCGAGCTTATTCACGAGTTCAAAATCGAACACGAATCGAGCTTCTTATTGAGCTTGTTCACGAACTTCAAATGATGTTGTTCGCGAACATAAACGAGTCGAACGCATTAGTATTCAAGTTTGTTTATTTAAGAATCGAGTATTTAAAATATTGTTCAAGTTTGTTTGTTTAGTTAATTAAACGACACAAACAAGCTTTAATCGAACCGAACAACGAGTAACTCGTCAAACGTTTGGTTCGCTTGCAGCCCTTTCCAATTTGGTCTAATGTGCAGTCTGCTTGAGAGCAAATTTTTAGGTTCAGACATCAGATAAAGAGAATCATCCAGATTTCTCTCTGTTTACAGTAAATGCGCAATCAAAGCCCAGCTTCTACAGTTAATGTGCTTTGAGTGCATTTTTAGTGTAGACAAAAAAAAATTCTATACAGTGTCCGAACTTAATAATTTCTTCTGGTTGAGAATATCTCAACGGATCTTTAAAAAAAATGATCAAATTTGATAATTATGAATTTTCTAAGCACTGACTTATTTTAATGAGTGTAATATGATTATATTAACTACTTACTCCATTATATTCCGCTCAAAATAAATTAATAAAAATTTTTCATAATTAAATTTGAATTAGATATGTTAACCCAAACTTGTTAATAGTAATTTGTTCAATAGTTTTGACCAGCCTTGATATAATAGAACTGATGAACAAGTATCCATATATTCTAAGTCTGAGTTGTCTGAATGGGCATTTCCTTCCTAAATTCCCAACCAAAATGAGAGAAGCAATATGTCAGTTAGGGTGGGGCGTCTTATAGCGCAAAAAGAAAATGCAAATGATATGTAAGAAAAACAAAGAAAAAAACTTACAACATCAAATTAGAACCTAGACAAAGAAAAGAAAATCTTCTAAAAAGAATAAATAATACAATCTAACATCCCCATAGAGAAAGGGACCAGCGGAAAAAGGAAAGACAAAAAAAGGAAACCAAAAATCCTCCAAACCAAGTCACAAGCTAAGAGCATAAACCATTAAAATGTTGTCAAACATCAAATAAACATTCCAGGAGAATCATCCGGAAAGCAATGCACAACCATCAACAAAAACATTGAGCCAGCGAAAATAAAGTCACAGATCAAAATATCCTCCCAAAAAAGAAGAGAACCTCTGAATCAGGAAAAAAGGAAAAGAATTCCTTCCAGCCCAAAACATGCAAACACTTCTAAGATCTGCAACAACTCTAGCATCTCCTAGTAACAGGAACTCCCAAAAGTAGCGAGTAAGACAAATATCCAATCCAGCCCAAAAAAAACCTCCATCGAAGAATATCTTCAGCCGCCTATCGACCAACAAGAAACAAGTGAGTTAAATAGAAAAAACTCCGACTTCCAAGAAAAAGGACAAACCTTTAGAAGCTAAAACTGACCATCCAAGGTTTTTAGAAAAAACATTGTAGCCAACTCTACCCAGATAAAAATTCCATAATAAAATGAAAATATTTCCAATGAAAAATATCAGCAATAAGATTAGAATAGATAAGTATACTCAAAGTTTCAAGGTTAGAAAATTTATTTTCAAACATCCTGAAAATTCTTTCTTTCCAAATAAAGTAACTAGAACAACTAATAGACAATAAAAAGAAATTCTTAACATGAGAATCAAAGTTAAGAGGAAAATAATATCCAGTAATTCCACTAAATTTGGCATGAATTGGAAAAAATTAATATGAGGCAGAAAGTTCGAAATAATACTAAAGGAATAATCACATTAAAAAAAAGATGATTGTGACTTTCATTAGCTTTCAAATAAAGATACAAGAAGTAGATACATTAATATTTTTCTGAACGAGGACATCAGATGTTTTAAGCCCCTTTAACAATGCCATCCAAGCATAGCAAGAATATCCCAAAGCATATTTCTTATGCCAAATCAAATTTTACCACTCCACTTTATTAAAAGAGTCATAATAAGCTCTATAAAACATATTATATGAAGGAAGAAAAACTCCATTCCAAAAAATGTTTGAAATTTGTGGATTCGTAATAGTAACTTGAGATAAAATAACAATAATAGCCAGGCACAAAGGAGAAGCCAAATTCCAGCAATTATTAAAAATCTAGTCCCCTAATTTCAAATTAAAAGAATCTGGTCCCAAAACAACACTATTCAATAGAACACTCTCCTGAACTGACCTCCCTAAACACCAAGGATCCCAATATAAAAAGAGGGAACTGTTAGGAAAAAATATTAAATTGAATCTTACCTTTAATATCTCTAGCAACCGAAGAGATATTCTTCTAGAATATAGAAATTGACTCTACCAAGGCTTCCAAAAAGAGAGATATTTATGCTTTACCCAAATAGCCAAAGGACCAATGTCATTAATGATTCTCCAAATAAGAGAACAATTATGAGCAAAACTGAGAGCTTCAGGTTCAAAAATACCCAACCCCCCAATTTCTCTAGGCTTACAAACTTTATTTCAAGTAATGATATGGATCTTCATACTCATAGGATCACCATGAAAAAGGAAAGTAGAGCACATCTTTTCTAAAAAATTTAAAACAATATTTAGGAAAAGATATGCCCCTGATCCAGAAAGAAATAACATTGGATATAGTGAAATTCAAAAATTATACACTCCCAACAAAAGAATGAAATTTTACTTTTCAACCAGGAAACAATATTGTAATCCTACTAAATAAAGGCTGAAAATCAGCAACTTTCAACTTCTTATCAAAAAGAGGTAAACCTAAATATTTTATAGGATATTCAGAGATTCTGTTGCCAAGAATGAAACTAATAGTAGCTTCTAAATGACAACTTTTTTGATATAATAAGAGAGCTTTTATCAGTGTTAACAAATAAACCCATGGTAGCCGAAAAATAAGCCAATATATTATTAATCTTTATATCATTCTCTAGAGAAGCTTTACCAAAAATAAGAACATCATTTACATAAAGCAGATGAGAAATAATATTATTACCAATTTTAATCTCCACAAATCCATTAATTTGAGAATCCAAAAGATTTGAAAAAGGAACTATAATAATACAGAAAAGATAAGGAGAAAGTGGTCAACTTTGTCGAATACCCGAAGAAGAATTAAAAAACCTATGCATAAAACCATTAAGAATAATGGAAAAATGAACATCTTCTATGCAACCTTTAATCTAAGATATAAAAATCCGAGGAACCCTTTTTGAATCATCCTAGAGACTAAAAAATCTCTAGAGACCGTATCAAAAGCCTTATGAATATCAAATTTAGCACAAAAAAACTTATACCTAGAAGAGAAATTAAAATCTCTAAGAAGTTCAATAGCAAGAATAATATTATCTGTAGAGATCCTCTTCTTAATAAAACCATATTGGATTTTGTGAATAATAAAGGGCATCACACTCTATAATTTGTTAGCCAAAAGTTTAGTCATTAGTTTATAAAAATATTGCATAAAGAGATGGGCCTAAAATCTGAGACATTAAAAGCATTATTCTTTTTGGGAATAAGAGAAATGGAAGATGCTTTAGTAGCTATTGGAATAAAATCATAATTTAAATAATAAAGAATATC